AGTGTTTGGCCTTTCTCTGTGAGTTTTCTCTGCCTTACACTTTTCCTCAAGCCTTCTTCTGGAACAGCTTGACTTGTTCTTGCCTCCAGGGGGATTGTATCTGAGGCCTTCTCTTCGTGATTCCCATCTTGCTGCAGCTCCATAGCTCCAGCATCACCGTCTTTCTGTGTGGCCATGTCACTGTTCAATTGTGTGTGCACTAAGGGTTTTCTTAACTGTAACTTAAAATGTTCCTATATTAAAAATAATATAAAAAAATATATATATAGCTTCAAGCGCTAACCTTTCAGTTTGTTCATAAACTTAAATTATTTTCCTTGAATGAACTTAAATGTAGTGTATCTTTAACACTCTTACACCTTTATGTGTTTAAGCTTAAATTATTTCTATCTTCAAAGACGAACTTAAATGTGGTGTAACAAACACCTTAATCAGAACAATAAATCTTCTTTCACTTGTTACAAAACAGAAAAAAAAGAAAAATAGCTTCCATGTGAAACCAAATTATAACTTGCTTTTAAGGTACCTTAGTTTACTATTAACTTGTCAAAACACTTATAATTCACTTGAATAACTTGGTAACAATTACCGTGCAAACATTTACTTATTTATCTATATATTTTTTCAAACTTAAGCTTTAACTTTATACCACAGCAGATTACCCTCTTAAACACTTATAGAGTCCCTTTCAAAGTTAGCAAGCTAATTCACCTCTTCACATTTAACTTATTTTAAACGTGTTACTTGGTGGCAGATTAACCACGCTGCACTCCTGGACTCTTGGCTGCCTCTGGTTCAGGTAACCCTGCATGCAGTCGGTTTTTTCCTTCGATGCTAGAGAGCGACGTCACCCCTTAACGAGCTGCTCGTTGACGGCTCCGCAGCTGCAACAGACTCCGCTCTTCTCTCCACACTTGTCCAGCACGAAGCAGTTGAGTTCTGACTGTTACTCCTCTCGAGTTCAATTAAACTTAACGCAGTTCTTGATTTTCTACAGCCATTTATTTCAGACACGTTCTTCTAGGTCCTCAAAAAATGCCGTCAGAACTACAAAAAAGGTAACACAACCTAAATCAGTTCACAACAAATGGCACAATATAACAAAAGATCCATACAACAAAACTGTACCTCATTAGCTGCATCAACTCCAGAGGAATAAAGTCTAATCTTCTCACAGTCTCTCCAGCCCGCATGACCCACATGGCTCCAAAATGCGCCAGCCAAAGTTCCCCGGGCAACACATGCCGCGCGGAACAAAAGTTCCTCTATATTCCAATGTACACCCAACATAAAACCAATAAAATTACTACTGCCACCTTAAACATAAAAAACAAAAATAAAAAACAAGAGGCAGTTGTCCTGACAGCAGCCACAGTCTCCAAAAAACAGAATATTCAGCAATGACCTTGAATCTCACTTTTTCCATTGGTTAAATACTGTATGGCTATTAAGACTCCAGAATGTTATCTGCTATTACAACTCCGACAACTGTCATTTTGAACACATGCTTCATTTTGTCATTGAATATGCAACAATGTTTCGCAAATGAAAGTTTGCAAACTTGATTAATCTGTCAAAACTAACATCTATGCATGCATTAACTGATTAATAATAAAAAGAACAGAATGTTTCTTTCTGATTACGACAAATATTTTTTTCTGAAAACTTTGGCTAAATCTTTTTAAATTATTTTTTGTTTTTTTTTATTTAGTAATTTTTCATGTTTATGTTTTTTCCTTCTTTTTTTTTTTCCCTAGAGTTTATTTAGTTTTTTTCCTAAAAATATGTATTTTATTGCTTAAATTTATCCTGCAATTTTTTCACAGCTGAATATTTAAATGTATTTTCTCATGGCTTTTGATGTGCTGTTTGTTAATGCTGTTGGCTTTGTACATTTTTGTTCAATAAAGTGAAAAAATAATCAAATAAGACAGTCCAAAAAACATAAGATTGTTATCATGAGAGTCATAAGAAGTTTGAAATTGCTGCTTTCCATTACTCAGTCTAGCCAATCCATATTTAATCTATTGGTACATTAGTTCTGATTTGTTTGTCAGATTTTTACCAAAACAACATTCAAATTTATTAAGTGGGTCTGTACATTGCAAGTCGCTGAATCCAGTCAGTCTAATCTCTTGCGTCACTACAGGTGAATAAACTCGATCAATTAGTCATGCAGACTGATCTGTTAAAGCAGAGGTGTCCAAACGTTTTGTTAACTCGAAAACTCAGCAACGACTCAAGAATGCTCAATGGAGTTTTTTTTTTTTTTTTTTTTTTGCAGTAAAAGGTTATTTTGCTTACTATTTAACCTGCAGAGGGATAAAATACGTACCATGTTGGACTAACAGACTGTTTGCTCAGCTAACAGCCTGGAAATAACAGTTAAAGATGGAGTGGGTGATATTTCTGCAATCTAATCCATGTTTCAGCAGATTTCACTGAATGCCTTTAAAACATGCTGCTTGACGTGATGGAGAGCTCTTAGCCCTCCTAACAACTCATTCACCTGTCTTTTGTTTGAGCTTCCAGAGGCTCAATGCTATGAACTCAACACTCTCAGGATAATTAAGAGATGCTGGCACACTGTTGCTAATTTTCTGGAGTAGCAACAAAGTCGATCTTTTTAAGGAGAAGCAAACTCTGCATTTGCAATTTTTGCTCAACGTTCATTCAGGTTCCAGCGCTCTGCATCTGTGACACGATGCCGGCATGTCTGAGGAAAAGATCCAGGGCTGTTCCGTCCTCTCTGATAAACTTTTCAGAAAAAGGAAGTTTAGCAAAAAAAAAAAAAAAAAAAAGCTGAAACTGCCACAAACAAAACTCTAACTGACTGTATATAAACATTAGGAAATCTTGTTGTATTTTTCACAAAGTATGTCCCAGAAATCTCACCTCCTACATCCAGCCAGCCATTCATATTGGCAGCTATATTATCAGGAAATTTGTCCAGTTAACAACAGACAAGAAGTAGAGTTTCACTAGAGAAGATCTGCTTTCTTTTATGTCAGCACAAACTGTAAGGAGATGGGGGGATAAAGAGACCCTAAGTGTGTCTGAAACGAGCTGTGACTGTATTTCAGCTCCTCTGACTGATGTGACGATATTTCCTCAGGTCAGTTGATTTGAATAGTGTGAATATTTATGTCCAAAGGTGTTTTCCTGCTGCTAATGTCGGCACTGCTTAAGGAGACAGTTAATGTCAGCTAGAAGTGGTTGTTCATTAACAGCAGCCGATCCTGCCAGAGGAAGCATTAAGGTCTCCTCATTATTTAATCGTTCACTGTCTCAACCAGCAGGGGTGCGTGTGTGGGGGTGTGTTGGTGGGTGTGTGTTGGTGTGTGCGTGTGTGTGTGTGTGGTGATGGAGGGTAGGGGCAGTCAGCGCCATGTTGGATTTAGCTTGTTAATCCACACTGTGTCAGGTTTATCTCATAAACGGTAATCTGACTGCTTCTGACAGCCTCCACTTTTAAGATAATTTAAAGCTGTCGGCTCACATTTTGAAAAGTTGAACACAACATAAAACAAAACTATAAGTTTGATATTTGATATCCTCAGCATTTCATGCAAGTATAAGTCAGATTTTTCCACATATTGTGATGAAAGGAAGTCTTTTTATAATCACTACCTGTCATTAAAATAAGGTTAGACTTAACTGATTTAGGTCTGTTTGCAATAAATGGCAACAAACAGCATTATTATGTCAACTGAAGGTAACATAGTTACCTGATTGTGCTACAAAATGGCCTGTTTGGGACACATTGCTGCCCTGCTCACACCATGAAGTGTGTGGTGTGCACGGTGGAAAGAAGTGATACCCGCCCCCCACCCCCTGAGAAACATTCGCGCCCAATTGTTTACCCTGCAACAGGTGTAGACAGTTTTAATAAAGATGAATGCTAAAGCTCATGGTGACCAACGGATATCAAAATATCTCTTGACCTTGCCAACATGGATTACAGTTGATGTCTGTCACAGCAGGAGGCGACTGTGCCCAGAATGCACGTCTATCTGCCCAGTAAGCCGGGCCAGAGTTTCTGCCCCCCACTCAACCCAGAGCGGCATGTGTCCGTCTCTACCGCGGATTATACCACACTCACACGGTGGTGTGTGGGTGTCCGGAGAAGTGCTAGACAGTGATGTTTCGGGTTTCAAGGTTCAGCTGGATTTCTCCAGCATTCCTGGTGCAAGAGAGTCATATATTCCCTGGAGACACAGATGGACAGGAAGCGCTAAGTACCCCAGGTCCCAGATTGATCATAAACACCTCATGTTTGTTCTCTTATTCCAGCTTTTGTCTTTTTGTATGTCTCCAAGGAGCTACTACAGTACCGCCCTGTCCTCCATTACTGTCATTCCTCACAGGATCCTGACAGAAATCTGGCACTTCCTCTCACATGTCGATAGCAGGTCTGGTCCATTAATCGAACTAACTGCTTTACAAGACCCTTCAGGATAGTCTGGGCCACAAACTCCATTCAGGAAGGTGCTGACTCCAAATTAATCCACTGATTATCAGGACACTGTTGTTACTTAAACTTCATAATGAAAAAAAAAAAAAAAAAACACTTCTGCTTTTATATTGATCAGTGAGAAGCGCTGACAATGCACAAACATCTGGAGCACACTTAGACTTGTATTTGCAGACTTCAACCTGGCCACCATATAATGAAAAGAACACTTGTTTATTAAAGAGTGACTCTTTGGATAACGAGGATTTTTTTCTCTTTTGGGGATGCCATTGGCACTAAACTCAGTGTTTTCTGTATTTCAGAATAATACATCTTCTGCAGGACTTAATACAAAAAAAAACTTTATAAACACTTGTGGGATATATCCATAACCCAAAGGGCATGATAATGTTTGTGAAATGAATGTTTATGTTTCAAAAGACCCTGACCAACATGGCGGCGGCATTGCCCTGTCATATAAACTAAGTCCCAGCAATCAGCGCGCAGGCGCGAATAGAGTCACATGACCCATTTAAAGTGGGAGCGTAAAGATGGCAGCCAATGTCAGCAAATTAAACATGGCTCGATTAAGAAGTTCAGTGTTTTCAGTGTTCCAGTTTGACCTCCTCCGTCAATTACTCTGCGTCCTGGTGGCTGTTTGTGTTCTGACGCAGCAGTCGCTGGCAGACCAGCAGGAGTTTCTCGAGGACTTTCTGAAGCGGGAGTATTCTCTGGTGAAACCGTATCGAGGTAAGTTTACTGTCAGGCTGGCAGCGCTAGCGAACACGGTGGCTGACCGCTTAAAGCCGCTTCAAACTTATTAATAAGGACCAACAATAGCAACATATCCTCCCGACAACTCGGCGTTGGTCTCCTTTGTGAACTGGCTCGTCGACTCGCCGTATTAGCTGCAGTGGATAATAATTAACTAAGAGGAACTTTGCTCTCCTAACTAAATGGCTGGTATTAAATCTCAGCACCAAGCGGAAACCAGTAAAGTCAGTGCAGGTTTCACAATCTCCACATGCGGATGTAGTTTGATTTGGTTTAGGTTGCGCTCACTGATCAGTGCTTTGGATGTTTCACTAAAAGGGTGTTAACATTAAATATTCAAACTGAAGACCAATCAATTGACTCCATGTCGGAGTCAGTTGATTCTACATTGATTGGTTCTGATCGTCGAATACTGAATATATGTATTTATATTCTCCAAAAGACATAAACACTGTACAATTCAATGTACTCTCACTATGTGATGTCCTCATAATGAGGTCATCAGGTAATGTTATATTGTAATATTCAGCCAAAAGGTCCTTTATTCTGCAGCTTGAAGTTAGGATGCAGGACTTGAGGAGACCTGATTGTTGAAGCATGTAGAGTGCGAATGGCGGCCTTCAGTTACCTTGTGTTGCACATGACAACACAAATCTGAAAATGTATGAGTCAGAAGCTCTTGTGATCAGGATCCATACAAGAGCTCGAAATCCTTGAAAATGCTTGAATTTTAATGAAGTGTTCTCAGATTGGAAAGTGCTTCATTTCTGTTCAAAGTGCTTGATATTCAGACTGCACAGTTTTGTAATAAAGTGCAATCTAACATATAATTAAACATTATGGAAATACATTTGGAAAGTGTTATTTACTGTTGAAACAAGATATTTTTGTATATATAACAATAAGACACTTTTTTTTTCTCAGTGTTTGAAGTGAAATCAGGACCGACTTCTGTTGTTTTAGCTCAGATTGTTATTCTTTGTGTTTAAACATTAATTTTGACAGAACGGTAAACATGATTTGTTTGGCTGGTTAAAATGTAGAAAACATGAATTATTCCTAATGGCTCAGTTACTTATTGATCTGTGTAACTGAAATTAAGGTTATATTATGTTTCATTTTTTTAGACATGTTATTGAAATCGGTGTAATTATTTTTTTTGTCAAGTTAGTGTTTTGTTCCCTTACCAGTCAAGTCTACAAAGTGTGTGTGAGACATTTTGAAAACACAAAATTTTCTATTTTTTCTACCATAGGATATCAAATGTTATCACATTATTACTAACAGGAATAAATAATATTGCATAACATTTCTTTTCGTTTATTTTAATTGTTTTTTTATCTCTTAAGTAACTTTCAAAAGTGCTTGAATTTTACTGTGGGAAAAGTGAAGAATGATGTGGGGTTAGTAAAAATCAGATATTTGATATATTTGTTAGGAATGTGATGCATGAACGGTGTTGACCTTTGAACTGCCATTCTTGTTCAAATATCCTTCTGTACAAACTTCTAAAAAATATTTGATATAATACTTAAAAAAAGGGCGAGACTCGAGGGTGTATCTCTAGTTGAAAGGCGACCTTTATTGTTTCTGCAGGACTGGGCTTCTCCAGCTCCTCCCAATGGGACCTGATGGGAACGGCCATGGTGACACCTGACCATGTGAGGCTGACCCCAGACCAGCAGAGCAGACAGGGAGCGGTGTGGAGCCGGATCGTAAGTCTGCAGCTGCATCACATGCTTCCACGTTACCCAACCACTTCCTGCCTCATTCTGTCACAGCTACTGACAAACAATGCCACCACAAAATGCTGCTACACATGTAGTTTTACTGCACAAAACCTTCCCCAGTATTGGTTTTGATGTGTATGTCGGTGTCATGTTCTCCTCTGTTGCTCTTCATTTTTTGTGGTGCAGCCATTCGTTTTGAGGGATTGGGAACTCAGAGTTCACTTTAAAATCCATGGCATTGGAAAAAAAAACCTAAATGGAGATGGACTTGCCATCTGGCTTACCAGAGATCGCATGGAGAATGGTAAGTTGGCAACAATGACAGATAAATACTGAAGACACTCCTTTGTTTTCATGTTTCTATGCTCAGTACTTTGCAGACACAGTCAAAGCTATAAGGCATCAAAAACTGACTGGATGAAGAAAACTAAATTCTAATTCAAAAATACTTTATTGATCCCAAAAGAAAATAAAAATAAAGGAAATTAAATGGATGAAGGCAGAGGAGCTCATCAGTCCTACTGAATGCTGCATCTATCTTATGTCTGTCCATTTCTGCTGGATGTTTCTTCCTGTTAAAGGAGAGTTATTCCTCTCCACTGTCGCCCCCTGCTGGTTCAGGAGCGGAGTATGCTGCAGATCAATAACTTCATGCGATCTGCTGGGTTTCCTTAGACAAATGGTTCCCAAAGTGTGGGGTGCACCCCATCTGGAGTTGCTGTGCCATTTCAGGGATGGGGCGGTATGGAGGAAAAAAAAGAACAATTACACAGAAGTGTTTCACTGTAAAGATGATTTGTAGTGTGTTTTGTTTCAACCTGAAGTGTGAAATAAACTTCAGTGGAGTTTGGAAACAAAATATGTGTATAGCTTTATGTCTGGTTGTATGCTCAGTTTATTTATTTATTTTTTTCTTTTTCGGGTGGGATTTTATTGTAATTCATAAGGGGCCCAGAAAGTACTTGGGAACCACTGGGGGGCCCAGAAAAAATCTTTTGGAACCACTTGAAACTACTTTGACTAATAAACTGAGCCTTCTGTAGCTGGGGTCATTTAGAATGCATGTCTGATTGAATTGAAATAATTTATTTGCAAATCGCCTCGAGAAGACATTCATTCTGAATTGGTTCTATAGAAACAAACTGAACTGAAGTGAATTTCTGTGTTCCTTCCTCACTGTGCTCTGCTTTGCTTCAACGTCTCCAGGTCCCGTTTTCGGCAACAAGAACCAATTTGTTGGACTTGGAATATTTGTGGACACTTACCCAAACGCAGATAAGACCCATGATGTGAGTAAAACCTCTGACATCTCTGTCAGTCCTGTTCTCAGCTTGATGTTTTCAGTTTAAATGAGCAAGTCAGAATAATTGTTGTTGTTGATGCTGTCTTATGGTTCTGTTTTGTTAATAATTATTATTAATAGTTTATTACACATCTTAATTAGTTTCAGTTGTATCAGCTGATAACAGTGGCAACAGCAGCCACTGAGTTTTTTTTTCTTTAACTTACCTGCAGAGGAGTAATGTGAATTCACCCATGTGGGCTCATCACATCCTATTCAAAGTCTCACTCATGTGGAATCAGTGCAGACTTTGGCTTATTTAGAGCCATTGGGGTGCTCCCGCTGCAGACCTCAAACTGGAACTGAAAGTCACAAACTCTGACATGCTGAACTCAGAGTGGTTGGGATGATGAGAATGAATTCTAAGAAAAAAAGTGGATAATTGTGATGAGAATCACAACTTTTAACTCTAATATGGTGATTGGATGAAAACTTGTTTATGGATCTCTTGTTCAGTGCATCATCTGAAAACTGAACCAGCCGAGGTGGAAACCAAAATGTAACCTTTTTGCTTGTATTGCTGCAGCTTCTGTGTAGGGAAAACTAATGCTGCACATCAACTCAGTGAAAAACAGAGTGTTGGCAGTATCATTCTGTGGGGATGCTTTTCCTCAGACAAGACAGGAAATTTGGTCATTTGGACAGAAAATGGATTTCGGGACAACAGAACTCTGACAACAGTCCAGAAGCTGGTGAAGTGTTGACTTCAGTTTCCACCAGGAAAACACACTCATGTTAGAATGGCCTAGTCAAAGTCCAGTTGAGAATCTGTGAAAACACCTGAAGAAACAACTTTAACTACAGTAAAACATGTTTCGGTAGTGTTTTGGTTCAGAGAGCTGAATACCAGAGCACACCACACTTTATTAGATTTGTTAAAAAATAAAAAAGCTCACGTCTGATTTCTGTTCTGCTTCTCATTCTTTTTAAGTCCCTCTGTTTCAGATGTGTTTTGCTGAACATGCATGCAGGTGTAGGTGGAGCTTAGTTATTATGCTAACTTGCTGCAGCATAATGTCTCTCTGTGAGTGAGGCGACTCCAGCAGGGACCAGAAGTCAGTCGGTGTCTCTGCAGGACAGGAAACGAACCTGCTGCTCAGACACGACCCAATAACATGGCTGCCATCGCTGCGGGCTCCTGCGGCCAGCTGTGGGTGAGACAAGCTCCACTCTGAGGGAGAGTTTAATTCCGATTGGCTTCTCTGTTGCAGAGGACCTTTCCGTACGTCTCGGTAATGCTGGGAAACGGAACTTTGATGTATGACCACGACCGTGACGGGCGAACCACCGAGCTCGGCGGATGCACGGCCATGACGCGCAATTCCATTTATGACACCTTCCTGCTGGTCAGATACTCCAAAAACAAATTAACGGTATGGCAACGCTTTTTTATCTAGTGGGAAGTGGGTGAAACTGCTCATCTGAACACCATGAAAGAGTTGATAAATATTTAGAGCTGCTGTGTGGATGGGGGGATTAGGAAACTAACTTTTAGTTGTATGAAATCTTATGTAAGGAGGTTCAGTGTAGAGCCCAGAGGCCATTTTTGGCCCGTGAAATGATTTTGAATCGCCTTCTCTGCAGTTCCTGAGAAACTATCTTGAAAAAATTAAAACAACCTAATTTTTGTCTTTACTCGATGGTTGAGCAGGTAAGCCATACAATTAATTCAGTGTTTCAAGGCTCTTGTTGCCAGTGACTTAATTTAACTTAAATGTTTGGATGCCACCGATGTGAATTAAAGTGACTTCGACTTTCCTCTGCTGTAAATCCATAAATAAACGCCTGTTGTTGCGACAGACTGGCGACCTGTCCAGGGTGAACCCCGCTTCTCACCCGGAACGCAGCTGGAGATAGGCACCAGCAACTCCCGACCCCGTTAGGGAGAAGGGTGATCAGAAAATGGATGGTTGGATGGAAACACCTATTGTATCAAACTGCTGATGTGTTCCTCTGTGTGTCTGCAGCTCATGGTGGATGTGGACGGGAAACAGGAATGGAGAGACTGTGCTGAAGTCAATGGGCTGAGGCTTCCCACTGGATACTTCCTGGGTGCCTCCTCTGCTACTGGAGACTTGTCAGGTATCCAGCATTGAAACAGTTTGCCCAACAGGTTGTCCAAAGTGCAACAAGTAGCTTTTCAGCAAGATATATGAGCTTGTTTTAGGTCAACAAATATTTAATATTGATTACATAAAAGCAGTAGTTCAATTGGCAGATTTTTAAAATTTCAATTATAATATATTTCCAAATGTTATCGCTTGGAGGAAAGTATAACTATTGATATTGAGACATAGAGATGTAGAAACATGCACTTGAGAACAGAACTTCTAAGATTTTTTATCTTATTTAAACATCTAAGACATTGCTCTGTTCTATACTGTCACATGTGACATAAGTATATATTGAAAAATAGCATAATTAGGTGGGAATTAAAAAAACTGTAAACTTCTCACTCCTTTTCAGACAAGTACGGTAGATAAGTCTACCGTACTTGTAGATTAGAAAAAAAATAGAATATATAATCTTATGTTGTGAAACATAAGATTATATATTCTATTTTTTTTTTTTGTTCAAAATAGATGAAGTAAAGAAATCTTGCTAAGACTCATGTTCTAATGTTGCCCTCTGGCTTGTCTGCCAGATAACCACGACGTCATCTCAATGAAAGTGTACCAGCTCACTGTAGAGAGGACTCCAGAGGAAGAGGAGGAAGAGGAAGAGATGGTCACTATCCCTCGGGTGGACAACATGTACCAGTTTCAAGGTAGAAACATTTCTATCAAGTGGCTGAAAGTTGTCCCTCAAAGCTGAGGCTTCATGATGGTTTCCTGTTGGGCTTCCCAGTGGACGTGGAGGAGGAGGGGATGAGTGGGCTGCAGCTGTTCTTCACCCTGCTGTTCTCCGTCCTGGGCCTGGCGGTGCTGGCCGTGGTGGGACTGGTGCTTTACGGCCGCTGGAAGGAAAACAAGCGCAAACGCTTCTACTGAGAGGCGCTGCTTCTCAGAACACAGGTCCTCAGTGCACATTAGATCAACTAGAGACTGCCGTGCTGTGACTGGAACTCGGACTGACAACCTTATGGGTCGAACATGGAGAGAACACGAGTGGATGGACAGATAAGTCGGGTGGACAGTGTTTTTATATATATATATTTTTCCTTTAAGTTCTCTGGAGGATGTGAAGGTCTCAGCAGATTATCTGCTGAGTGAGACTCTGTCCTCACCAACAGGAGGCAACAAAAGAATCAAGTTTCAAATTGCTGTGTGGACGTCACTGACATCATGATACGGGAGTTTGGAGATGAGGTGGGGGTTGCTCTTCAGTCACTTGACAGGTTGCACCTGGAAACAAAGTAAAGAGTAAAACTGAGGAACTTCAGGTTGTTCCTGCATTATAACAGAAAACATTTGTCTTGTTGCAGTCCTGTTAAAGTAGCTACCGTCTACCTGCAGCTGTTATCACTGCTATTTGGTGTCTGAAACTCAAACTAAAGACTAATCTGACAGCACCAACAGCAGAGCAGACTTTTACAGTCTTAAAAGAACAACATGGACAGAAAGTAATGCTGAGGTCTAAAGCAATGAACCACCAATCATCTTCCTGTGGGAAACACGGACAAATGTCTGATAGGAAAGGAAAGCAGTGTAAATATAAGCATTGCTTTGCTGTTACACCAAGCAGGAAGTTTGACCCTAAACATGTTCCGTTCTCAGCAGGACATTTATTGGTGACGCACCACCGTCAACCTCTACTTCCTGTGTAAGTCATTGGTTTCTCAGTTAGTAGCTCTGAAAGTGAAAGGGTTGTAATAATGAGATGGTTCCAGCCTCCTGGATTTATCTAAATGGACATGCCAGCAAATGTTTACCTACTGCCTGTGTTTTAAGCAGACTGTATCTTTCCGTCCTCTGTTCTCACTGCCAGTTTCAACAGGAAAATCGTTGGTGAAGCAAGGTCACAAAAAAATCTGAACTATCTCTTTAAGTTCCTGTATTATGTTGAGTGTAAATTTAGCTCCAGTTTTTATATCTGTGACATCACAAATCTAATTATCCGATCAGTAGACAGATTGAGTGATTTAAATAATTCTGTAAGCAGTTGCTATCCTTTGATTGGAAAACTAGGTTTAGCATTAAGTCCAGGCTGTCCAATCAGTTAGAGGTGTGAAAACATCAGAAGTATTCAGAGCACAGGAGTTCCAGAAAAAGTAATTCCTCTGAAAAAAAAAAAAAAAAAAAGTTTTCTCGAGTTTCACTAAAGTTCCTCTGTTTACTACAGAAACTCCTCAAGGACATGAAGGGATTTCTTTTTTTCTGTTTTTTAACAATACCTAGCAAAAATATTAGTTTCCCTCCCAAATTTTTGCGTTCTCTCGCAATAATGTAAGAATCAGTTCATGTTGAATCTTGAATACTGAAAGCTTTTCTACTACAATATAAGGGTTTTGTAAGGTTCTGTTAATATCTCATTTCTGAGATATCTCAACATTTAAACCTTTTTCTTCAGGATAGAAACGAACACGGGTTTTCATTCAAAACAGAAACTTTCCTTAAGAAAGAAAAACTACACCCAAAGTATTTGAACTATTTTTAAGTTATTTTCATGGCGTAATGAAGTCATCTGACATTATGACATATGTTGGTAATGTGGTTAATAAAGGGCCGTTTTCATGTGCAATCCCATCTCAAACACAAGCAACCAGTTTCTGCACCCATCAGTTAAGAATGTAGGTTTTCACTGCACATGCATATATGTGCAATTTTATTGACATTTGTTATACCATATTTTCCAGACTATAGAGTGCACCTTACGATACGCCACACCTGCAAATATTTTGAAAAACACTGGAAACGTACATTTATAAGCCGCTCCGGGCTCTATTTCCCTCCTGTACTGCCAGATCGATAGCCCTCAACTTAAAAGCGGCATCTTCTTCATTGTGTGGTTTCCATGATGAACGGGTATGAATTTGAAGAAATTTCTCTGTCGTGCCTGCTGCTAGCATGTGCTTGTTCTAAACAAAAATTTGCACTGTCTTCCAATTTCCAATTTTGACTTCCAATGATTAATTTCCTGCTAAAGAGCCCTGTAGCGGTTGAAAAATATTCCACAGAAAAGCAGCACCAGGCTATAAGCTGCATGGTTCAAACCATGGGAAAAAAGTAGTTTATAGTATGAAAAATATGGTAATTATGACTATACAAATTAGGCCAGGGTGTATTTGCTAATTTATTGTGAGAGAATGCAATATCTTTGTGACTCAATCCACAAGTCAAAATGTCCCCTGGCGGACTCCGCAGTTTTCTCTTTAGTTCAGATATTTTTTGTCTTTGCTGATCTCAACTCTTTTTCAAACAGGCATCATATTCAGGAACCGGCTGACTTTCCAGCTGCTGTCTATGAAAAAATGTATGTACAAGCTAGTATTCTTAACGCTGCTAAGAAATGAGACTCATTCAAAAAAAAAAAAAGCATACTTTTCACTGGTTCCCTGTGACGCACTTAAGCAGACACATCCACAGACGGGAACAGGACCCATCAAATGACTTTGTTTGAGATTATCCACTCTAGTTTCCTCCAGTCCTTGTTTTGCTCATCCAATCAAGCCAGCAGTCTTCATTTCAACCTGCAGAACGTAACGGCCCATTTCACTTTTACCTCCACATTAATCTGAAATGTAGCTGCTATGACAAAACCGCCAAGCTGTGGATTGTTGCTGGAGTCTTTGTTGAAGTGCCTCATTAGGACCAGTAAAGACAGTCCTGTCCGTCTGTAGCTTTAACCTGTTGTTTCTAGATACAGGGGCGTCCAAACTGTGGCTTGGTGGTGCTTTGCAGTTTCTAAATGACACAAATTTGACTTTTTTTTTTTTTTTTTTTTAAAGGAGAAAAAAAAATTGAAAAGAAAAAAAAGTCAATTAGTGTGTCATACATTTTTAATTGATCCATAAATTAAAAAAATAAGACACCCCACAAAGTATTCATCTTTTCCTAACTAAGCTTTCTGGACCACATCTACCCACTGACTGGTACACAAAAGCTGCTTTTAATTATACTATTAAAACTTGGCCAAATTTATCAAGTGTTTTAAAAATAAACAGGGACCTCTCATGTTGTTATTGCTGGGAATCAGCTAAATCTTTCAGTTTTCTTAAATTAAGAAAACTTGAGAAAGTCCTTGTATTAAGATTGTAGGCTACACCTACAAATATTTTGAAAAACACTGGAAACTTACATAATATAGCTCAAATTATTTTATTTATATTATAATACCAATAGAGTGAGAATGGGTACATAATCCAGCATGTTTAACATCAGCATTTTCTTAGCCGATAAAAGACGCATTTTAAATGATTGACCACATTTGTGACATACAACAAATCTGACTCTTATTAAATTTAAATATTTAGTGCTTTGTTTATTTGATTTTTGAAAATTTGATTTTCCTTTAAAATCATTTTGTTTTTTGACCCATTTTTGCTAAATGTTTGGACGCCCCTTGTTTATGTGATTTGACAGAGACTTTTCCCGACTATCATTTTGAAATCAGTTTTATTTTTGTGGATGAAAGCAATGCTATTTATCACACAACATGACGACAGTTCTGTCCACGAGAACCTCGTAGGAGGTCCTGGAGATCCAGTGAGAGGAACTTCAGCAGACTCACAGGCCATCAGATTTTTGTTTTCATTTTTCTATGCAGATACAAATGTTTTTGCATTTTTGAGCCATTTACCTCAATCATTCATTTCAGTGTGAACCAATTACTTCAAATGTCAGTAAATTAATTAATGCTGACACTGATCTTGCCATTAAAGTTTCTATTCTTCCCTTAATCTGGTCCTTCTTTTTGTTTGCTTCATGTTTTTATTGAAATTGTTCATTTATTAATAGCTCATTCTTAAGCACAAAGAAAGTCAAACTGAACCAAACCAGAGATGAGCAGGAAGTAAGAACAGGACGTACTGATGCGAGGGCAAACCAACCTGCAGCCTCCTGGTTCTGAACATCTGCACATCAGAGGTAGAGTGCTGGGCTTTAACTGGCTGTTTGGAATTGGCTGAAGACCTACTGTCCTAACTGCTTAGGTCAGGGGGGGCTAGAGTAGAGGAACTGTGGGCAGAGTGATCCAAAAATATTGTAAATTTCGACACCAGGTCAGTGTCGGATCCATACATTAGTTTAATATTTTGTTTTGGTTTTGTAGTTTCTCATCCTTAACTAAAATACCATCTGAAATGAAATCTAATTTGTATTACTTTATTTCTTTAGGAAGCATGTACACATGTTTTGTTTTTCTACTGTTTCTGTTTGTTGTGCTGAGGGTAAGTGTTTTCAAGACACCTACCAACTTTGTTCAGTTTCTTGCTTAGGTTTTAACAAAATATTAACACAATGTCTGAATGTCAGAAGTTTGATATATCAAACCAGAATTATAAAAAGTGTTGGTATCAGTATAGATGTTGGCGATACTTGTGCTGTATTTATTTGGTATCGGAACCAAAATATAAAACAGTTCATAGTTGAAATCACAGCAAATAATGCAAAAGGGAGAGGAGACATACAAGAAAACCTTTAGGTACGTTTATGATGAAGGAATGAGGGAACATGATGGAAAGTTCAAAAAAGTTGATTTTACGTAACACTGTCCCTTTAAATCCAGTGTTTTCCCAGTGTTACGCATGTACTTGCATCTCCAAACATCCACACTGTTCCTGAGCACCTTGTGTCTGATGAAGCTGGTGGAGACCGGATCAGGAAAAATTCTTAATGCTCTAATCACATTCTAGAGCAACGATCTGGTCTGTTGACTTCAGACTGATCAGTGACCCCTGACCCCCAGCTTAACCCAGCATCTCTGAACACATCAACACACACAGAGCAATAGCAGCCTTCATTCAGCCCTGCTGGAGGTTAGCCATGTGCCACCCTCCACCTCCACCTCTCCATTGTTGCCTCTGTAAATATTAGTTGATAAAACTCAGTCATTTCTCCCCTCTCTTTCCCCCCCTGCTTTAACGCCTGCCTCTCCTGCCTGATCTCAGTTATTCTTTGGAATGCTGGGAACGTCAAATGAACTTCCCAGTCGCTTGGACATTACTGGATATTTCCCTGTAATTAAGGTAAGCTTTTACATAAGTTTTTCTATGACTTCTGATTTATTATATTTTCAGTTATTGTAAACATTTAATAACTGACAGGCACATCTCAAATAATCCCTGCAGGAAAAAAATCTTGATTATATTTTCAGGCTGCTGAGAATCAGGAAGTTGAAGCTGCTTCCAGCTAACTGAGTCTGAAACTTGTGACAAAAAGTTCATCTGGTGATAAGAGCAGATAATAATGATTAACACGGCCAACAAGGGGATCCATTGTGGTTCACGGCTCAGTGTTGCCATATCAAATAGCAGCGTCCTGTAAACACTCGGCTGAATGGGGCTACAGCTTCACTTTTTTATATCTTAAGGACAAGTGTGTGTGTGTGTGTGTGTGTGTGTGTGTGTGATTTTTTTCCTCCTCACATCTAGAAGAAGAGGTTCAGGAAGGATGAATAGCTTCTGCGTCGGCTGTCTGAAAAGTCTGGTGGTGTCTCTCCACTTCCTCTGCTGGGTAAGGTGGTGAGGGAACGACACGCACACACACCCACACCCTCCACACACACAGCAGCGTTTCCCACAGTGTACTCATAATACAGACCACTGGCTCATTGTAGCTCGCGGTCTGATTTTTGTGGGCTTGCTGGTCGAAGCATCAACTATAAAAACTATAAATTCATCTTTCTTTCAGGAATAATTTTGTCCTGCCAGTAAAATGTCCTGCAGTCCTGCTAATGAAAAAATATATATATATACTTTGAAAAATAATCATTAAAAAAAACACGCCAACTGCATGCAACTTTAGAAATCCATTTCAGTTTCTCAGTTCAATACTTCCATTCCTCACTTCTGACATCCGTCATGGTGCCTCCAATGATTAAGTGATGCTGTTGGCATGAGCCATCAGTCCTGCAGGGGTCATGCAGAGCTGACCTGATCGTTTCCATAGTAACGAATTTGTATTTCTGACTATATTAGGATTGTCTTGTCTTTTTTTACTTCAAACATTATGATTCTGTAGTCCTAACATTGGTTGCTGTGCTGTGTGACATTGTTGTCAAAAAGACAAGTACGATGAAATATAAATAAGATATTAATGTTTTTCAGACTTTATGTAATTCATGGAAATAAACTGATATCAGTGGCTTTAGTGAATACATATGTACAAAATATTAAGGAAAAATGAATTAAATACAAATTGGCAAACTAAGGAAGTGAACTATGGTTGGGACCAGCTTTGATATGTTTTTATACACTTTTTAGAATGTAAGTAACAAACTTTTATCATTGTGTCATTAATCCATTAAAGTATAAGTCACTGAACTCCAAATCAGTATTAAAGTATTTTCTTCTCACATTTCTTAGCGTTTAATAATGCACATTTCTAGTTTTCTTTTCTATGCATATATAATTAGTTTAGTTATTTTCTTATCTTGGGCACCAACTTATGAGTTATTCACTTAATAAATGCCTGCAAGCCTAAAATGAATAGTTTGAATAAAAATTTCACATCACCATGTCAACAGAGGGACCAGTTTACTTCTCAACCACATAATTTATATTAAAAAAATAGTTTACATGAAACATTAAGGAATGTTTATCATTTACTGCAAAAATGAATGTATGAACATGTGCAATTTTTGGAACGTATCCCAGTTCCAATTAACTTGTTTTGTTGTTAATAGTTAATGTAGAATATTTTATTGACCAAACCTGCATTTTTATTGGCAGCTCCCGCTGGCGACCCGGAGCGACATTACAATGTGTTGCAGGCATCATTAAATGGATGATGTAAAGTTCATCCATTTGAACATTGAACATCTTCTCTTTGTAGTGAATTCCATTGAACAGGGATTTGCAAACCATTATATTGTGTTTATTTATGTTTTTCACAACGTTCCAACTTCATTGGAATTAAAGTTGGAGTTGAAAATCCGGGTCTGTGTAGTGAAGCCTGTTCAGGACTCTGCGTGTTTGTTTTGTGCTGCGAGGCAGTGAGCACGCACTCAAGATGTGGATCTTCAAGATGTGGATCTTCTCTTAACTAGAGAGGTTGTCTTTGCTGGTGTCCATAAAGGATGTTAGATTGAGGTCAGCCTCACTCAGCTGAACCTCCGACTCTCATAATTTGAGCTTTGCCTCGTCTCTCTTGCCTCCCGTGGAGCTGTGTGGAGCCTTCGTGGTGGCCTTCGGAGAATTCCAGATGATGCACTCCAATTTCGCCTCTCTGGTCACCACCTTCTGGCCCATCTACCCGGCAAACACGATCGTAGTGACCGGTACCATCGTCACCTGCGTTTGTTACCTGGGAGTGCTGGGAGGCATGAAGGAGAACCGCTGCATGGTCGTCACTGTGAGTGGGAGGAAACTGTCTGAATTCACTGAATGACCAAATGAGACGCTTCAAAAGTAAGCTGACTTTCTGTGTCTCAGTTTTATGTCCTGCTGTTCATCCTGATGCTGGTGGAGCTGGCCATGGCCTGTGTGTTCTTCGTCTACAGCAGAGAGGTGGGAGACTTCTGGTATTCATATGTCTGGTAGGGAATCTGCTTTGATGTCTTTTCTAATCAAGTGTGCTGAAACATCCTTAAGATTACTGTCGTGACCAAAAGTATAGATTTTTTTTTGTCATCTGAAACAAATTTGTAAACTCGAATCCTTTTGCTTTTATGATAATACCCATCTCTTTTAGATTGGTGCACAGATCAAATCAGATGTGTATGGATTTAACAAAATGGCTGGAGTCACACCAGAAGGTTCATTGACTGTCAAAAACCCATTGCCATTGTGGATAGTTTTTAAACTGATATAGAATATAGTTTTTGCCAGTTTTACAGCTCTAATGTGATGTAAAATTGACTTGTTTGAGCTGTGCATGATGTTATGGTATTCCCTCGTCACAAACCCAAGAGTGTTGCTCTGATTCTTTCATGCATGTTTCTGAAATCCACCGTTTTCTTCCTTAAAAAACAAAAACAATCAGACTCAGTTTCATACAAGACAAAAAATGTGACATGACAATGGCGGGTCAGTAATAGATACTCCTTTGATACACTTCATTATCATTAAGACTGACTGAGAGACGCCTTGAGAGAATTCTGCTCTCTGTGTGTATTAGTGTGTGTGTGTCCAGGGGTTGTTTGTGCTCCAGCTGAGTGTGTTATTGGTGCCGGCTTAGACATTGATTACCACATCAGAAGCTGATCCAGTAATCCTATCCTGACCCGTAGAATCTTCCACATACGTATTCATAGGAACTGGAATTTTTATTTCTTTCTTTTACTCTCAACACAACAACCTGAGGAGTCGAGCTGATCTCCATGAAGATCTATAGAGACGATGCAATAAATGGTTGATTTGGATCCAGTCTGACTAGCAGCTCCATACCTGCCTGTGAAGAGGCCGACAAGATAGGAAGGAATTTAAGTGCTGCTCCCTGAAAATGAGCAACTTTAACTCCAGCTGATGTCACTCCATCTCCGTCAATCTCATCAGCAGACTGGTTACAATAAGAGGTTTGCATTTGTTCAAAATCATCATTTTTATAAAAAAACAAAACAAACATAATCACATCAAAATATACTGGAAACCAAGGTGAAGAATAAAGGGTTGCACGCTACAAAAACAAGGGTCAGCACTAGTAACACCTGGCTGGTCTTATTGCATACACTGAATTTAGTTGCTAAGAAAAATAACGGGAACTTGAGACACCATTTTTTTAATATCTCTCAAGAAAATGTGACTTTGTACTGCAACGCTTTCAGAAGGTGCCCTGGGCAACTGCTGATATCAAAACATCAACTGCATGCACATTTCCAAAAACAAAAAATGTTTGTCCATCACTGTGACCACAGACACAAATGGCTCCCTGCACCTTTTCCTACATGCCGCATGTTGTTCTGACTGCCATGTTGGCCGTTGTCTTGAGCAGATCGACACATACTTTGAGAAGGACCTGACCCGCAGCTTGGAGATCTACATGGAGTCTGGACCAGAGGGGAACAAAACCATTAAGGAGGATTTTGATGCCGTCCAGTACCTGGTAAATGATAAACTGCTCATTTTAACGTCTCTGTTTATGAAAATACATATCTGGAAGGTCCACGTGCAACAGCGTTTCTTGACGCTGCATCAGTTGTCACAAATTTTGATTAAGTGACACAGTGATAGACCATTAACAGCCATTTCATGGAGTACACCTTTTTAGCACATTGACTAAAAAGCTGTATTAAAAAGGTTTCTTTATGACTGTAAAAACACCCGATTCAGTTTAATTCAATCGTATTTATATAGAGCCAGTTAACAACAGGTTGCCTCAAGGGATTTTACAAAAAACAAAAAAAACAAAGTCAATTCAGTCAAACCCTCCTCCATTCCAACCTGATCCTAAGGAGAAAACAATGCAGTCAAATTCGGTTTATTAATGGGATTGTTAAAAAAAAAAATAAAATAAAATAAAATAAAACATTCCATAAAGAAAATGGGACTTTGTTGGGTTATGATGAAATAAATGTGATTTTTGTATGATGCTAAAATGTGAAACCAGTAATGTGAAGAGGAGTCGCTTTGGTACGTAATATGTACGTAAAATATGTCAGTTGTGTACGTCATTCCATATCTCTTTGTTCATCACCTTATTTGCTTCTATGAATGTTTATTCTGTTGGGATTACTATGTGTAAATTATGTAATCTGAACTTTTGAATGAATGTCCATATAATGACTTTCAACTGACATTTCCATACATTCACTCATCACATAGATATGTTCTTGCTTTAATTGAAATGTTTCTTTTAAATATTCTACACATTTATGTAGAAAAAAGGAGAAATCAGAAATCTGTCTGATTTCTCAGACAAAAGAGTCTAAAATGATGTGTGCAGGCAAGTTCAAGATCAGGTCCTTTTTTTGCTAAAGCTTTGGGACAAGATTTGTAGAAACCTTTGCATAACACTAGGTGTTGGGGGCGTTAAAAAATTGTTAGCCTTTATCTTTGGAGCAGTGTTAAAACATTTTTATTAAGTTCAATTCTGGTCAATTCTAGCAATGCTTTTCTGAAATTTATCACCAAAGAAATTGCATGGCCGCAATTATGGTCAAAATAGACCTTCTGTCAATTTTAGAGATTCGTTTATATGTTTTCTGAGCTTCACCAACTTCTATTTTTTTTTTTTTCAATCTTAACTCGTGACTGAATAACCACACAGAACAACATCCCTGAACAGCTCACCTTACTGTGTACTATGAAATAAAGAGACCTGAAAAACACTTGATGTATGAAAACCAGAAAGAACCCAGAGGCACTAAGGGGGCCAACTTTCTTTTTTTTTCTTCCTTTTTTTAAAACTTTGACTGAATGTCAGTGGTATTTTGCAGCAGCTTCTAGTTCCTGTGGCAACATTAACTCCTCCTCTGTCCAGTTTAAGTGCTGTGGAGTTCACGGCCCAGATGACTGGAAGGGCAAAGCTCCACTGTCCTGCTGCATCAAGGATCCCTGCAGCATCGCTGACCAGCCCAACTGGCAGGAGGTGATTCACTGCATGACTCACTAACATGAGCGGGTCCTGTAAGCAGGTCAGGAGATCAGTCTGAAACGACCTCATTAGATCTTATGATTGTCACCAAATGCTCTGAAAAGTTTGCAGAGAGTTTTGCTGAACATACATTTGAGACGAGGACAATACTGGCGAGGAGCAGCTCCAGTTTACCACGGTTTGTTTTTTAAAACATCACAGCAACACAGAGGTGGTGATTAGAGAAACCAAGCAGGTTAGGAAAAACATGAGAGTAGTCAATAAAGAAGCCACACTGCTATAATTGATGCACAACGGCTTAAAAAAGGGGTCATACTGTTTGGTCCAGATTTTTGTATCCATTTCAAAATTTGGTATCCAAATTGGTACTTGGTACTGCCAGCTTTATTGAGCTGCCAGGCAGGAGGGAATGGATAATTAGTTTAAAGCTGCTTTTTGTATTTGGTCTTTTTTTTTTAATCTGTGATGTGAAAAATGTGTTTATCACCTGAAACTGTTTAACATTTTAGCAAAAATCAAAAACAGAAGTCTGTAACCTTTCAGTTCTGTATTTGGATGTGAACATAGCAGGATGAAAGTCACAACAGAAGTTAAAGCAGGTGAGCTGCAGTGTTCGAATCAGGAACTGTGTTCACTAAAATATTCCTGCTTACAAAAATGCAAAAAAGAGATAAAACTTGAAACCTGTAGGAGCCTAAAACCTGATCCTAAGATCATATAGTAAAAAAAAATCAACTTTGTTTGGTGTATCTAGTGACTTTGTGTAGCTTTCACTGCTCAAGAAGGAATAAAGCCTCCTGTATGTTTGGACCTGCAGGGCTGCCTGGTGAAACTCAGGGACTGGTTTGCTTCAAACTACCGCAGCACTGCGTCTGGAGTGGTCACCATGTTCATAATTCAGGTACAATTCATTCACTGATCCCATTTCCATAATCATGCTTTGGCTTGATGAATTCACATAGAAGCGTGTTGATACCAGTGTCCAGGTTACTGGTCCTGTTTGTAATTGTGAAAACCACATGGAATAATCAAATTGTAAAATATCCACGTTCCTGTCGGATGCTTTGAATGTAGCACCTTCAGCTTGTTTGAATTGGGTTGTTATGGTAACCCAATATGTTCAAGGTGTGTTTTTCTGAGTTTAATCAAAGGAAAAGTAAACAATCAATCCCAACTGTCCACATGCAACCTGCAATGTGAAGAAACTCTACAACAGCCCTTACCATATCTACGAGGAAATGCAACTTTATATTTCTCAGTCTCCACTCGATCTTAGTTACCGTAACTCAGTCACCAGGTGTCTAAAATAACTATGGAAGTCCTTGGTTTTGGTACCAAAGTTATGATGAACATCACAAAGACACACACAGGTTTTGAGTTAGAAAATCCTGTTCGCTGACTTTGGTTGTCGTCTGTTGCTTCCAGTTAGAAAGAAATCACACCTTGTATTAATTATACAGTTTGGCTAAATGAATTTCTTGAAATTGATGCCAAGTCTTTATCTTATGAAATCAAATAGAGTTACTGAAATGTTCAAAAATGCTCCGATGTGTGCCTTTAATGCTCTGAAATGCTGTGAGCTGTGATTGGATGCAGCTTTATCAGCGTCCTCTCCGTCTTTGTTTCCAGGTTGTGTGCCTGAGTGTCTCCGTCCCTCTGTTCTGCCACTTCAGGCGAAGAGGACTGGGTTACAAGTGAGAAAACACTTTGTGGACCGACTTAGGAAATCGTTCACGTCAACAAGGTCACCTGGATCCTATTAAAGTGCTGCCTGTCACCCAGAAAAATTATATGATAGTGGAATGATAGTGTAGTTTTAATTATTGGTTTTGAGTTTCCAGCATGGTCCATAATACAAATGTCATCATTTGCTGATTTAAAAAGCTCTTCTGAAATGTAGCAGCTCTTCATGCTGAAGCACAAAATTATATTCATGATATTCATAGCGAAGTCTCAGGTTTCAACAAAGACTTTGCTAAGGTCAGTATAATTTTCAGATCATGAATTATTGCAGTATAAATCAAATCTTACTGAACAAAGCTCCCTATGAGAAGAGTTTTTTTTTATTAAAAAAAAAATTCAACATGCACTGTTCCAAGATACACAGCAGATTTTCTAAACATTTTATGCATTGCAGTGATCAGTGAACAAGTCTGTTTGAAAGTTAATCTTCATGTACAGCTGGGCCTGCAAGCCTCTGGAGGATCCTCCACCTTGAGGTTCCAGAGGCATCAGCAGCTTCAAATCACTGTTTGCTGCTTTGTAAGGGCATTTTAACAGCTGCTCTCTTAATCTGATGAATTTGTCTAACAGAAACCTTTGTCATTATGCCTTTATCTGTACAAACCCATCTTTGTTCTGAATCAGTATAATAATGCTTCAGTTTTTGTTAAATATCTAATGTTTTCATACCTTGTCATACGGCACTACACTATCTGATGATTTTTGTCAGCAGGGATCCTTTCTCTTCCCATATTGCTTGAAACTTGTGGCCTACTTAATAATATAGAACATCCTTCTTCAATAGATTTCCTTAGATTGAGCTCATCAGATAAATGAATCAACCAGCTCTCTGAAATGAATTACAGTGATTCATAGAGCCCTCACACACAATACCATCTACAAATTTAATAGCACAACAAAAAAATGTTATCTTTATGACACTTAAATCCAACTTGCATAATAATTTGGAACACAGTGTAGGCCTATATCTGAACCATGTCTTTAAAACATTATATTTATCTCTAAGTAGTCTTAGAAAAAGTCATATTTTGTCATTACTGCACAAATGTTTTGCTAATTTAATTTGATTTTGTGAATCAAAATGAACAGCTTCATTCGACACTATAAAACAGAAGTTCAGCTGGTAGTTCAACAGGGAGCTAAATGGACTCAGTGCTTTGAAAAGTGGTTTGTTTTGTGTGACTGACATTATTTTTAGATTGTTAGTTATGCATATAATCAGCAGAGGAAACCTGGCCTTGTCAGGTCTGAGCAGCTTCTGCTGAGCTGGATCACAGACAGACGTTCAGGCCGTCTGTGACTGTCTGGCGACTGCCTGCCAGTAATCTGCCAGTGTCTGCTGTACAGTCAGGTAATATTTTAACAAACGTGGAAAAAAAAATACCATAGTAGTTTTAAAGATGCTTGTAATGATGAATGTTTTGTTCATGGAACCCGTATGATGTTGGGACTCTTGTTTGTGTGAACAACCTGGTTAGCTGACAGCCTGTCGGTGACGGTGAACCCACATGGGGCCCGACGGCAGCAGCAGGTGATAAAGCCCTTTGTGACGCGCATGAGACGTGACCAAAACAAATAAAAAGGTAAAACTCTCTCACTGATTTCTTGTTTCCTGTCAGTCGGTTTGGTATCATGGCTCTCCTAACAGACACAATATTCTTGATTCGTCTTCAAATAAAAAGCAGTTTTTATAGGAAATAAATTGTTGAAACCTGCAAACTTCTACTTCTAAAGCCCTTCAGTAAAGATGGACAAACATGCAGCGAAGCAAAATACTTTACTCAGAACACACTCAAGTAGAAGTAGATGTTTAGGTTTTATAAACTATTTCAAAAAGTACAAAGTGCAGACAGATTGTGTTACAGTAAAGCGAGTAATTTTACCAGACCAAAGTTGACTTCAAATATCCACAGACAGAATTACAGCTGACACACATGCCGAATCGAAAAGTTTGTCATTTCTCAATAATTTTGTCAAGTGAAACACTGAAATGCATCTGAATAGGCAACGTAATGATGTCAGATTATAAATCACACATAAAAGGTTTCAACAAAAGAGTCATATTTTATTTTAGCCTGGCATTACGATTTATAAAAATGTATTTTATTGGAACGCCTTAAAGCCTATCATCCAAATGTGCCCAAAATTCCGTTCCTTTGAACAACCACCAGGCGGCAGCAGAGGACGCCACATTCCAACACTGTTGCTCAGTGCAGAATGAAGAGCGAGGGCCTGCAGAGGAAGGAACACTTCATGTGGAGAAGGCTTTCAGCTGCTGGCTGCTTCATTAGCATGTTGTTTGCTTTGTTACCAGAGAGCTGCTTAAAGTCATTCACAACAACTACAAACAGCTGGGCTTTAAATTGTATAATTAATATAAACTGTTCAAATGATTCTGAAGGTTACATTATTGCAGCAGTCTGTATGACCAGTCAACATGTCCATAAAGTAATTGATGGATCCTGTGGAGTCAGTTTCCTTTCAAACTGACTCCACAGTTATGACAGATGGATGAAGCTGAGCTGTTGGGCACCAAGAAAACAATCAGAGGTTTAATCTCTCCTGTGGGGGCAGGAACAGGAAAACACACACTGCACATTCTAAGCCTGCTTGGTTTTCATATGAAAAATAAACCACTCTGAAGAAATAAAAACTTTATTCAACTCAAATTCTAAATAAATTTAATGAAATTTGGAATCTGAAAATTGAAGGACACTTCACCTCTCATCTAGGAAATTTTAAAACCCGTTTCATATTTATCAAGTTAAAAAAAAAAATGTCCTGGTTGCTTTGAGTTGGTCTGAAGGAACAGAGAGGCTCGTCTCATCTTGTCTTTATGTCTTTGTTCATGTTTATATTGAAATGGCTTCCTTCTGCAGGGTTTTACTGTAATGTCAACACTCTCTTTGTTAAATATTTTGTGATTTCTAGCTGAGAAATAGATCAACTTTACTTCTTTACTAACATGAAGTCATGACTCTATGGTGCCTCCTGTAACCGTTCCAGACTGGAGGTGGGAATATTATCCTGAGGCCATTTAGTACCATTTGTTGCACGCAACAACACTCTCCTGATCATTTCTAGCAGGAGGCGACCATGAGGAAGATAAACCAGTTCAAACTGGTGTCTTGAACATGAAAATAAATTCATCATTGTCCAGTCATGAGATCTCCATCAGAAGATTTGATGACTGTGGACGTGTAGCTAACAGTGTTACAGAAGATCTCAGAGGAACGTCTGATACCTTGTTGAGTCTATTCTTCTAAAACAGCACAGTCTCTCAGTATAAAGTCTATGATAATCAAATCAAATAACACTGAAGACTTTAACTTCTCAAACTGTCACCCAAAAAACCACCTGCATGCAAGTCAGAGGGTTCATGACTCACTGACTTAAGCAACAACAGTTCAGAACCTCAATGTTCAGACCCTCCCTCTCCTTTGTGGCATATGCGCCACAAATGAGAACAAATGATGTCCTCATTTGTGACGCATATGCAGACAAACTCACACTAATTTTCACACACTCTGTTCTGGCAGCTGTCCAGTAGATTCACAGGGTCACACACATGTGAGTGCAAGAAAAACGCATAAAGGCCAAATAGGTTGCGGTCGAGTTATTCTGTTCTTCCACTTGGAAAAATTATTGATTTGCTGTCATGTGTGTCGTTGCCCTGTTGTCCTTCAAGCTGCAAATGTCGACTTCTCCTCTTCTCTGCTCTCCTCCTTTCCTCTCGCTGTTCTGGGGCCTCTGGATCATCCGTTCCTTATTGAAAACAAAGCAGGTTGCACAAGTAAGTGGGTCAGCGCACAGTTGAAGTTGTGAATCCCTCCGGCTTTAGCACATGCTTGTGTTCCTTACGTGTTGCCACCCTGCCAACTGCTCCCCTAAGACATCAGACATGTGGAGGCAAGGCACGTTTCTCCATAGGAAACTCAATCAGAGTGCCAAAAGCTCTGTTCATTTTAAAACACCTTCCTTTGCTGACTTTCCTTTCTCTTGCTTGTTTGCTTTATTATCTCTGTGGCTGTGGTTTTGTTCTAAACTTCCATCACAAAATGCTTCAAATGCTGCGCTTCTATTCACCGTAGAACTGCGAAAAATAAAAATTCTAAACATAAATTAGCTTGATTTTGGAAAAAAAGTTTTTCAGCAAAATGGACATGTGATCAACAGCTAGATGTTACTACTGGCCAAAACGACAAAGAGACAACAGGAAGTGATATGTTGGGGTTGTTTTTTTGTTGGATGAATTCAGTTGGTTCCACCAGAAGTCTTACAACATCCCACAGTTCATAAGAAGTTTTATGTTATTCCATATTGAAATTTGTGAAATCACCAAATGTAATTTCTCAAACACCACGTGTAGCTACTTACAAGTATCTACAGCTCGTCATGCCAATGCCTGGATAAGATGCTGATGTCTGCCATTATTTTAATGACTTCTTGTGAGATCAAACGTACACACGTGGTTTTAATTTCATTTCTTATTTAATGCAAATGCTGAAATAGCTATTTTTTTTCTACATAATATGAACAAAGATTTGCCACATTTGCTATGGAAACACAGTTTGTGTTTTCAAAGGCTGATCAGTTAAATGGAGTTTTTTTTTTTTAACCTGCTCTGTGATGGACTGACCTGCCCAGGGCGGACTCCGCCTCCTGCACCATCATGCTTTTAGTTAGATTATCACATGAAATCCTAATGAAATAATTCAAGATTTTGATTCTGTTGCATTAAACGTGGCTTGCTTTAATGCTGGATACAGTTTTGATTTTAAAAAGTCATAAATGATTTGGATGCCATCTTTAGAAATGGTTCATATGGAGCAAAGTCGGAATGATACGCCTGAGATGCTGAAGGGAGGAAGAAACAAATCAAGACCTGGTTGTATCTTGTGACAAATGTGACAAATATGGAATATCTTTGCAAGGGACGACATATGTCACTGTGTGTATGTACACTGTAAAAAAATAATTTAAAATATCTGCAGCTGTGGTAGCGAGTATTTGCATGGTAAAATTATTTTTTTATACAGTGTGCACCCAACACATGTATTAAACTGTATATGAAGAAGTCAACTAATCAGACATGCTGTGATTAAAGGGATTAGAGATTGAGTGACTCATTGTAATCTGTGTTTAATTCAGACTTCAGACTTTGAGCTGGTCCATACTCTGATGAAGTGTTTGAGGTACAAACGCAGTGTGTGTGTGTGACTGAGGCAGAGAGGCCAGCTCATTACTGGATATTAATTCTGATTCACTCTGTGTCTGTGACTAATCCAGTTTCAATCAAAAGTGTTTATACTGCAGCAAACATCATACACTCTCAGCTCGCAGCTGTGTGAAAGTTTTCACTGTTAATAGAAATTTTCCTTTTACTTTTATATTTCTTGGAGTTAAATATTCAACTATATTCATTTTTTTTAATGCTACCCGTCTTTGAAAACTTGAAGAATCTGTAATGTTCTCTGTTCTGGGATTTGGAAAAAAGTCCATTTTAAAATTCTGACATTTCTCTCACGCATAGAATCCTGCAGTATTTTGGGGATTTGTAGTTTTTCCCCATCATCTGCACATCATGTTGAGCCAAAAATCATATTTTTGTATTTAATCATAATGAGAAAGAAATGCCACCAACTTGAATCAAAAACACTTTTCAAAAGCCGGATTAAATCAGCCAGATGTGAAAACTCACTGAATGGTTTGGAACTAAACTGACAGATTTTTTGTGGTAGAAAATGCATTTAAAAAAAGATGACTTTGTCTGTTCACTCCTCGTTTTAATTGGATTTGACAGTTGTTAGTTATGATTACATAAGCCAATCAAACCTGACTCTTAACCTCTTCATTTTGACGGTTAGGGAAATGACTCGCCTCACCGAGAAAAAACTTCAACTCCAATTACAGTAAAGCAAAGGTGGCCAAACATTTTGTCACATGGGCAAAACATTGTCAAGTCAGAATTACTTGTTGGTCAAAACAATATATTTTCTAAATAAACTAATAATCATAAACAGCTTAAATCCAAAAAAATAAAAATATATATATTTTGCATGGTTGGCAGCAAATTTTTGAGTGTTTGTTTACAAAAAAAAATAAATAAAGATAAAAAAATACTGAAAGAAAAAATGTTTGAGCTATATGAGCAAAATTCAGGTCACCTTTTGGATCATATCTAGTTTAGTTAGCCAAGCGTAATTAATTACTTATTTGAATAGAAGCCGATTTGGGTGAACCAAAGTCCACTTTAGAGTACATGTCACTATGCACATGTGTTCCTATTTACTATGAAATTAAAGAAAGTGCCAAAGTCCATCCATCCATCATCCAACACGTTTATCCACAGTGGGGTCGTCTCCACTTCTTTCAAAATGTGCTAGAAGGTCATTTTATGTCATTTTAGAGTAATAGTCATGGACCGCACAAAATCAGTCCAGCACAGCAAATAGTTGCCATTCAAAAACAAGAAAGAAAACTACAAAAAAACATACAATAAAAATACTCTAAACCTTTTGGTGAGAAAACTGATCTTGTCAGAACAAAAACAAGGTTAAATCTCCTTAATTGAAG